CTGAAATCTGCAGCACAAAGCACTACGATCCGTATAGAGGTAGTAAGCCCTCCTATGGGTGGCACCGAAATAAAACCAGACAATGTGACGTGGATATTGCCAGAATACGTTTAGGTTATAGAATGTACTGGCAAGTGCAAATGAATCTAGATGTAGACTGTAACAAGGAAACTAAGCGAACGCTTGAGCATTATATCTCAGAGTGCCATGCGATACAGCCTTTCAGACCACCTAACATGAGGTATAGAGAACTATGTGATTATTTTATTTCATATACATTGGAAAATATACTGACGCTATATCCTATTTTCACTATGTAAAACTATCCTACTCATAGATCATATCACAAAATACTGTTATGTAAACAAATAGGCAAAGGTAGATCGACTTAGGCAATATACTTTTGCATGATGTATGACATATTCCCATTTTAGTATGACTAATTACTATCACATAATACTGTACTCTGTCGAGTATATGTTGATATATGTAACACTGTAATCACGACTGCCCACGCCAGAGCAGATAGCCATGGTGGTAAATAAACACTTAATTGTGAATATGAGAACAGAACACTTAACCTTCTGTCTACGAAAGTATATTGTACATAAACACATTTAATGTGAAAAAAATAAGAGAACTCCTCTACTGTGCGAGTTCCAAATACAACCAAAACCTTGAATAGCGGAGCGAACTTTGAATGACAACATCGATTCAGACGCAAATCCATAGCTACAAGTAACGCAAACATTTAGGAATACTCTTAGGCATCGAATGTCTATTATATCAAGGCTCAGGGATCGTTGTCTGTGATTCACAGAGTGCTCTCCAGGCTTTGAACACACTAGACAAAGGCGCAGGAAGTATTGCAAAGGACATCAAGACAAACGTGTATGGTGCAAAAGAACGAGGCCATGATATATACGTTTTGTGTGGATACCTTCGCATGTTGGAATCCCCAGGTATGATAATGCTGACCGCCTAGTGAAATCAGCATGTGACAAGCAAAGTATGGATATAGATCTTGGAGTACCTCTTGCTAGGATTTCACACATCATTAAAACTTCCTTCAAAGACGACGACTGAGCGAACTAATTCTCAACGGCCTGAAAGCTGTAGCATAAAGTACCATGACCGGTTTATGCAAAATTTGTCCATTTATGGTTTATGGAAAACAAGAACAAGAATCAGGCTGGGATATAGACTAATTGTCAGTTCAGTACAATTTGTGCCATGTAATACAACCTTTCAGACCACGTAGCATAATGTATGGATAACTGTGTAACTGTATCATCTGATGTCTTGGAAAATATCCTTGTGCTGTATCCCAGATTTGGAATGTAGTATCACAAGAACACATATCTTGTAACAAAGACTTTCCACGCCTAAGATGTTCGCCGGCTTGGTAGATGAGTTGATAAATTAGTGTAATTGTTCTTTTCTTTTAGATGATATAGTAGAGATCGTAATAATGTTATAGCCTAAATTTCCAATGTAAAACTATTATATAATGCCATGACTATTCATCAAATGCATCACAGCTTTGCCCACGCCCACGCAGTCAGCTAGCAGCGGTGTGTGTAAGAAAATCAATATAATTACTGTTATTATCAGTAGCAGTTGTTGTTGCGCTAATATCGCTGTTTTATTTCTTATTGTTATTATTAGTCTTATCAGGATCAATATCAATATTACCATAATCATGCTCATCCTTATCATTACCATGTTCAATACTATTATCATTATCATCATTGTCATTATTATCATCATTATTTTTATTGGTGGTGAGGGTTCACAGTTATTGTCATTTGAATATATTTTTGAAGAAATGATTATTTATTTTTCTGTAGTCACTTTGATCAAATATGCCATGGAATAAAGTAAACAAAATGGAAATATAAGGCTTTATATGACTAGATTAACCATTTCAACGCACTTTGCCGCAGAACAATCAGAACAGAGCGCATGGAAGCTTCTTTCACTCGAGCAGTCGCCAGAGCTCGTTGATGTACGACAGCGCCACCTGCAGCGTGTCGTGCTTGGAGAGCTTGTGGGGGGCGGAGGGCAGGACGTGCCGAAGGCGGTCGAAGGCGCTATTTAGACTTGTCATCCTTTTCCTCTCGCGGGCGTTGGCTGCCTGACGCCGCCGCCGATGCTGGGCTCGCCTCTGTACCTGGGTAGGATGGACACAGTTGACAACAACTCTCTGGTAGTTTTTGAAGTCTTTTTGTTTTGCCGCAGCGCCTCCTCGTCGTCCTGCGCAGGAGACGGAGTCACCACGTCCGAGTCCGCGCAGAGCAAAGTCTGGTATCTGAGACCCGTAGCCGTTGTCTTCCAGAATAATCCTTCGTCGGCGACTCAGTCCTGGCAAAGCTGGTGACTCTTTCGCGACCAACCAGGTGAACGCGGTCTGCATGGGCGGCCGTGGAGGAGAGATGGGCTCACGCTGGAGGCGATGCAGCCGTAATATCCGTCGGAAACCGGTGACCAAGAGGACCATCCGTCAGCAGCAAATGTTTGTGAGTAGTTTCCCCCACTGCTGTCGGCGCCACGCACAGCGCTATCAGCTGGGACGTTCCATAGTGCAGGGCGGAAGCCTGAACGGCGCTCTCGATGCTGCGTGGTATGCGAGCCGCACCCGCCACCTCGTCTCTCCCTCCTCTCCCTTCCCTACCTCCTCCCCAACTCCCCCCCGCACGCCGCGCCCATCCTCGACCCCACCCCCCCCCCCCTCACCCCCCATCACACATACCCCCAACCCGCCTCCCCTTACCCCCCCCGGCAACAACATCGCGGAGCATGATCTCGAAGAAAAACATTATACCCGCGACGATTACTAATGCTCCGCATGGGTGTTATGATTCGTCGAGGAGCTAGCGTGGCGTGCACCCTCTCCACTCTAGTCTCCGTCTCTGGATACGTGCGCAGATCACGCCGTCACACTCGATTGAGTATAGGCACAGGAGGTCACGCCCGCTCCACTATATAGGCTGTCATCAATCGCAGATGTACATGCGGGGTCATGTGCGCTCTTGGCTGAGCAGGGCGAGCGGCGCTGAGATGAACCCCCGCTCCCCCCCCCCCGACGCACCTCGTTGCGCTTTCTGTGACCGCCTGCATCGTCTCATTTCGTAGGAAGGGGGGCTGAGGTGAGACCGAAGGTTATCCGGTCTTTGAGCCCGTCTTTTGTTATCCTTTTCTCCGAATTACGCCCCTACGTAGCTTTCTGTCCAAATAGCCGGCAGAGCACAACCAGAGGCTATACAGTACTATTTATACTTATAGCGACTATATAGAGGGGGATATATATCTAGCAAATCTATATATATATACATAATATATGCTGTGTGTGTGTGTGTGTGTGTGTGTGTGGTTCGTGTGGCCATAAAGTATACCTAACTTAAGTCATATGATGTGTTTTGGCAGAACGTGGTATATAGGTATATAGTCATATAAGATACGTTCGCATCCTATGTCAGTGTGATGTCATAGATAGCGGTGTCCCTATATGTATGACGCTAAGATTATATATAGTATAGCTGTGTACAGTATTTTTAATCTACTAGACTGACGGATGTATGTGGTTGACGATCCCTGTAAACGCGAGCTCATATGTGTAGTATTACTCGTGTTGTATATACTGATGAGTATACGTAGTGCCGTGAGCTACTATACATACCCCTATAATATATGAGCCCGACTGCTGACTGACTAATATGTTGTGGTGTGGTGTGTGTGTTATGAGTTGCGCAGTAGCCGTTAACCATCTATAAATAATGTTGTCGGGATCGTCGTGTCGTAGCATGTGTAATCGGCTCATATTGGCCCGCTGATTAGCCCGTGGCATGATCTTTCGTGTTACAGAACTACCCATCAACCTACTACTCCCACCTCTGTACAATCAGACTTAGCCTACCTGTATTAACCTAAGGGCGTGGACGTGATAAGTATATGATGAACCATAGTAATGTACTACGATATTAGCACCCTATTGACAATACTGCGCTTACGTCGCGCAGTAATGATGTATACTATAGTAGTATCTTGCGTGTAGCTGATGTATATATTACTATCATACTAATACTATCAGCATATCTATCTTATCTGCCACGTGGCAATGATTATATTGCTATATACGTGGAGTACTCAAGATGTTATAATTATATCAAGTATTAGTACCCTAGGCTATATATACAGTATATAAATAATACTTACTATATATAGTGAAGTAATGGCACACTGCTATAGTGATTTATGTTGCATAGTACTGAACAGAGGCTGTCTGATGGCCCATATCTCATATATATATATATATATATAATCTATAACATACTACTATAACGATATATATATATTATACCGCTTATTCATATAGTACTGCCAGTCGCTATATTATGCATATGCCATAATACTATATATATATGATATATTATCACATAGACCGCTTACCGCTATACAGGTTCTCTACAACCTGCAGCGCAGGTCAAATGCTATGCCACACACTGCTCAGCCATGAACCTCACTTGACTCCCCCTATCTTTAGACCGCAAACGTGAATTAGACCCTGCCCACGCGCCTACTCATAACAACCTACACTTCAGATGCTTACACCCTCACTCACAATTTAATATCATGATACTCAACTATATATTGTCGCATCAAGTATATCTAATGATTATATATAATATAATATCATGCATACTCTCGAAGTTATCACTCCTTCATAATCATCTACTTAGACTATCCAATTAAGATCGCCCGCTCGCCAATCTTCCACTCGATAACGTATCAAACCTCCGAGTCAAACGGCGCTCTATATACCAGTCCCATATATATGTACTGATCACGTCGACCATTATCCTTCATACTATGGCTAATATTATATGCCCTATAGCGTGTCGTGCTCATCTACTCCTCTTATATATATATACTATAACTCACCTACCTACACGCTCTCTCCCTATGTAACTCACACGTATCAGCCGCTCGTCTCCTTGATATTATCACATACTCCTATCCACTTATTACCATCACCCAATCCTAAGCGAAGTATCTAAGCTAGTACTAATTAGACCACTGATATAATCACGATTCCCATATCCTATAGTAAAAAATTCCAAGTATATACAGCCATCCACCCCCCATCTAATCCAGGCGCCAGTCTATCAGTATGTATATATCTATTATCTGTATTCTGCCTACCTACACATATACACCTTGCCCACCTCCTATTCTATACTTGGTATACTACGCTCCACTGACCACCCTATACTATACATGTTATCATAGTAGCGGCGAACCTCAATACACTATATGATATCATCAATATATATGTATAGCTATATATGTAACGCGATCCTACTATATACTATATATATTCATTACTCTAATAAAATCATACTATAAAAATATACTCTACCTATATATACATAATATACCATATCATTATACATTACCTTATTATAAAGATATATATACTTTATATAAAACACACCCACACACACACACAATATATGTAATATGTGACTTATCTATACTATATTCCATACTTATATATAAATATATATACTATACATTATATATACATATCATACACACACACACAAACACACACCACAACACACACAACACCACACACATCTATATTATATATATATATCATATTAATATATATATATATTACTATTAATATAATATATTATATAACACGAGTATTTGTGGTGCTCTCTTCTCTCTTCTCTCTCTCTCTCTCTCTCTCTCTCTCTCTCCTCTCTCTCTCTACATCTACTCTCTCTCTATATATATAATGCTAACTACTAGCTCTATCATACTACTCATACATATTATAGTATATATCTATATACTTATACATATATATACTAATATATATACCCTACTATATTATCATAGAACACACACACACATCACACACACACACACCACCACACAACACACACACACACAATCCATAATATATATATATACTATACAACGTATATACATATATAGGATATCATATATAATATTATATATTAGATTTTATATATACACGTTGTATTTATGTTGTGTGTGTGTGTTTGTAGTGTCCAATACTTAGTCTGCGTTTGTGCGTTTGCTGTCGTGTGTATTATAATATATATTTAAACGCTGTTTTTGTGTGTGGTGTGTTTGTGTGTGGCCGTTTGTGTGTGTGTTTGTGTGTGTGGCGCGTGTGTGTGTGGTTGTGTGTTTGTGTGTGTGTGGTATGTGTGCAACTATCGTGTACCTTGCCATCGACTATAACTGCTATATGACTATCTATACACCCACACACAACACACACACTCACCACACACCACACACACAATCACACACACCAGAGTCGTACATACCCTAGTATCATATCTAGCCATATAATATACCGTATACTATGTGCTCGCTGTGTTGTGCACTGATGGCGACACCACTCCTCTTCTACTACTCGCATCTTTGCCTGCTGATAGTTGGTGTTTTGTGCTGTGCTGTGTGTGATTGAGCGCTTGGGTGGCGTGGCTCGTGTGTGTGTTGCCAGTCGCCATATGTGTTACCACATGTCAATTACCAACACCCCAGCTAACGCCGTCACTGTGCTCATCTCTTACTCGCTATCACCTCATAACACCCACTATATAAATATTTCTCCATTCCCTATTACGATACTGACTACCCGACGATATATATATACTATATCTTACATTAACGCATTATTAAGATAGTATTATAGCCACTACAGCTCAATTTATATCCACTCTAATATTATATCTCAATAGATTCATTATCATTCATAACATGCTCATACCACTTAGTATCAATACTCTACTATATCCTATTATATTAACATAAACTAATTCTATATATATTATTATACTATATAATATTTCATATATATATATATCAATATATACTGACCCTATATCTGTGCTAGTGTGTTGTGTTACGTTGCGTGCTCTGCTGTATGTGTATGCTATGTATTTGTGTGTGTTGTGCTGTGTGTTCGTGTGTGTGTTTGTTGTGTGTGTGTTGTGTGTATTACCACCTCTACCATGTTGTGGAAAATGGCTGGCGCCATACCTATGTCCTTCGATTCCCCTCATCTGTAGTGTGTCGTTGGTGGTGTGTGGTGTTTTGTGTGAACACTGTGGTCGCAGACTTCGACGTTATAGACACACTATGACCAAACCACTCATCATACTCTACCTGTGTGTGCTTGATGCACTGCGTTGTCGGTTGTATAGGGACGCGCGAGCGTGACCGTGTTTGTGCTGTGACTGAGCTTACGTGCGTGTGTGAAGTGTGTGTGTGTACGTTGTGAACGTTTCTGCTGTGTGTGACTGCGTGTTTGTCTGTGGCTAATTTATCTGTGTGTGTGTGCGCCTGAAGCGTGTGTGTGTGCTCTCTCTGTAGCTAGTATGGGTGTGACCCCGAACCACCGCTGGTCGTGTCCTGTCGTGTTATGTATGGGGTCGTGCGTCGTAGATGTTG